AAAAAAAAATTTAAATTATTGTAAGAACAATACAATTCAATGTATGTAAATCGATATATAAAAAAAAAAGTTGTATGATAATTAAAGTAGCGTACATTCACATCATTCTGTCAATCTCATGCAAAAATAACAATAATAATAATAATAAAAATTGTAGAACAAATACAATGAAATCGCATACGAGTTTCGAATTTCTGTGTGAAAATTTCAAATCGAATACAAAAGGTTTAATCTTTGTATAAAATACAATCTAATATGTTTTTGTTTTTACAAAAATCTACTTTTCGTTATCAAAATTGCAGATCGAGCACAAAAAAAATCAACCTGGGTATCAAAAGTCGAGTTAAAATGAGAAGTTTTTTTTTTAAAAAAAATAAAATTATTATTTTTTCTGAAAAGTGAAGACTGCACACGAAACATTGCATTTTGTTGAAAACTGATAAACGATCTAACAAAATCGTACAAACATATGAAATCAAAATAATTATAATTCGTAAAAAAATAGGAATGCATAATACAAATATAAACTATAAATATATTAACTAATTACATAATTTCAGTGTGCTAATTCAAAATCGGAAATGATACTTGAGCTAGAAAGCATAACTAAGTAAGAAAATCGAATTTCATGTCTTAAATTCAACAAGAATCAAAAATTTCGAAGATGAAACATGAGGAGAGGAAAGAGTGAAGCGGCGCAAATGGCAAGCCTAAACCTAATGCCGACAAAATGCTATTATAGGGCCGATTTCACACGTGCATTTCGGTTAATTATTGTCAATCGTTCGATCTTTTTTTTTTTAACTGAATTGTATTTGGGCTCTCTAATAGTGGGTCGTTTGCAATAAAAAAAAAAAAGAAATTACACCATGTACAACATATATCACTTTTTATTGCAAAATTATCACATGTATAACATTAATTACAAAATTACTATATATATAAAAAATAATTAATTTAAGCATGCAATTAACTGATGTCATGATCGTTCCATTATTATATAATTTTAATTTAAAAACAAAATTACCATTTAAAAGGACAGAAATAATAAAGCCCGTGCATCGCACGGGGACTGTACTAGTTATATACTAATATGTCTACTATTTAAGGTATAATAATATTACTTAAATAAAAAGTATTTTATAAGGAGAGGTTAATAGGGTGTAAAATATGAGCTCCTCCGTGCATCGCACGGGATACGCACTAATTGAATTTAAAGTGTAAGCAGTATAATTTTTGTAGAAATTTTTTGTTTTATTTTCTACAATAAGCTTGAACATTCTAAAACAAATAACCATGTTTAAATTAATCCATTTAACCAATCTATATATATTCGTGGATATATATATTATATATATTAATAATTACAATAATTAAAATTTGTGAAGTAAAAATTTAAGTTGAATAAACATCACAACCCAAATACCAATATTAATCTTAAATTAATTAATACAAAACATATCTGAATGTCCGGATACAGAAGATATATGATTTTGCTCCAGATAGTTAATTTGTGATGTTTTGAAAACTTGAGTTATACTGTAAATAGATAAAAATAAATACAAACTTTTATTAAAAAAGTTAAAAAAATTTAAATATATAAGTAAATATAAACAGATTAGCATAATTAAATTAACCTCTAACAAATTTGGCACGACAAAACTGTAAAATAACCACAAAAGGTTCAATTTCACGGTTTAGTATTGAAGGCAATATTTCATCAACCTTTTCTTCACACCACAATGAGGTACGAAAATTAAGTTTAATTATAATTTAAATAAAAACAACTTGCAAAACATAAAAATAAATTTAATTCTAATTAAAATGAAAACAACTTGCTAAACAGAAACATTTTATTGTAATTGTTATATAAAAATAACTCTTTATTGTAATTGTTATATAAAAATAACTCGATGTGCCCCAAAGTTATTTCGGGAAAACATGGTGTTATGTTGTCAAAAGACTTTGCGTGCATTTTGTTTATACCGACAACTCGCCCAACAACGTCTGCAAATAGTACAACAAAATATTTAAAACGTGAATTAAAATAAAGGTTAAAATTTTAATAAAGTAGGAATAAAAAAGTAATAATTGTACTAATGAGAGTCGAAAAATGTTCATTTAGCCAACTCAGTAAAAGCTCGTGAAAATTGTAGAGAATATTGGAACCTGATTACAGAGACTCTGACCACCCGGGTGTGGCCATGAAAAACAATTTTGTACCCTCTTATAGTTGTAATTGTACCTACCACAGTTTGGAGCTACAATTAAGTCCCTAATTGCAACAACACTTTCTTCCTTTTAATTGTGCCTAAAAAGCTCTATACGGAACTTTTGCACAGAAGCATGGATACAATAACCCTGAAATTAACAAATAAAAATAATCAATTATAAGAGTAAAAAAGGTATTATATCGAATCACGAAATATTATTTTGAGACCCAAAATTGTAGAGTGATCCTCGAATGTTGTACGCTACACGAATCTTTATGTTCCATTCAGTGTCTTACGAACCTTTATGTTCCATTCAGTCTTGTTCACCTTTTTTTTTTTACTTTCGCGCGTGTTTTTTTTT